TCCAGGTTGTTGTTGTTCCTATTGCTATGCACATTTCACTTAACTGAAATAAAAACTGAAAAGAAAAGCCAACGCAAATGCGAGCAAAGCCCAACCAAAATACGCCACAGCCATTGCAGTGCTGAGCGGAGAAACCAAAAAATGCTGCACCCGAGCAAAAAAAGGAAAAAGAGGAGGAAAAAGAGTAAAGTATAAAGAAACCAAAGGCGCAACACCAACAAATGTCGTCAGCAAAGTTGGGGAGTCGACTGTCGGCAGTCGAGAATCGCGTTGCTGCGGCAGGAATAAAATTCACGTTGCAGCAGCTCTAAAAAAACAGCGAAAAGGTGCGAAAAACAGGGGCCGAATCTAAAATACTCTTATTACGCTGAAGGCAGTTATATAAACCATCTCTGATCTAAGCCAAGTAAAGAGGTTTTTATAGTGTTTTATCTCTTAGCCATTCTCTGTTATAATTGTTTCAAAATCTCTCTTTGAGTAACAACTGAAATGTAAGCAAGCAACCTTTAATAGCCTTTCCATATCTCAGTGTTATATTTAGCTCTTCAGTAATCTGATTCTCTTAATTGAACAAATTGTCTGCAGGATAAGAAATTTTCATAAAAACTTTCATATAGATGTCTGCATCAATTCTTTTCCATTCAGGGATTAAGAAGAGCAGACATCTAATGGGTGCGCAAATGTCATCATCCATATGTTGCACATTGCACGACATTTACATAATACCCCTTGAGTAGAGCATTTAAAAGTACACTCGAGAAAATACGCTGGCATCTAGGTGTAGGGTGCCGGGGCCAGGCTCACTGGCTTGGCTGTGACGTGTGCATGCAATGGGCTCGTATAATGCGTTGTGCGTGTTAAAAGATAGTTTCACCCGGCTCAAAGCAAATGCCAGGCGGGGCCAGTCAGCCAGCCAGGCAGCCAGCCGGGCAATCCGCCAGCGAGGAGGCAGACAGCCAGTCAGGCCAGTCGGGAGTTTTCAGTAGCAGCAACAGCGACAGGTAGTTTTACACATTGAAAATCCCAAACACCGTGACACGAAGTTGTTGTTGTAATTTTTATTGGTGTTGGTTTTGTTGCTGCTGCTGTTGTTGTTGTAGAGGGGGTTGCAAGTGGAATTCGGCGTTGGGCCAGCTACTGTGTGCTAGGTACACTAATGGGTCTAGGGATCAAGGCAAACACGAGACAAATGCAAACAGACTTGGGTCGAAGCGTTTTTTCTGCAGTTACACTTAAACCAAAATTCGATGTGCTCATAAATGTGTGAAAGCATATAAATATATACATATATATTTATATAATAAATTATAGATTTTACCGGTAATTAAATTTGTTGTAACTGCATGTCAATTTCAAAATTGAAAGATACAAAATGTGCTTTGACATTCAGCTCTTGGTTTATTTTATCAAAGGATCTTTATATATTTTTAAAATTCTGGTCATAAAAAGTCGAAATTGAAGCTTAATATTAAATATATTTTTATTAAAAATTGTATAAGACGCTTATAAATTCTTTTAAGCTCTAATTTTGCAAGAACCATTTGTAATTTAATTTAGAAACTTTTAACGTTTTGTTAAAAGTTTCGTTTTGTATTTTCTTTCAGTTGTTCTTCCATATATTTCTGAGTTCAAATTAAATGAATTTCAAAATAATCCTAATATCCAATATTTTTATTGTCCATATATACCTAAAAAAAAGTCCACACATTTACACACGTTCGTATTCTCGCAGTGTATTTTGGTAGGATTGCACTTATACAACGTGTCTGCCGCTGCTGTTGTTGTACGTATATTTCAATTGTTAAACAAACGTTTCGGGGGCGACCCTACATCAAGGGCCTAGGCTGGTCCTATCGAACAACAGAAACAACAACAAGAGCAACAGCAGCAACAACAATGACTATAAGAACATTCAGTTTTTATGCGCGTGCTTCTCACAGCTCAGCTCGCACCTCACACCCCCAGACTCCCTTCTAACTGCGCCCTTTCGGGTTCCATATACATAATTTTTTTCGTTCCGTTCCTAGACAAATATTATTGTTCCCAACATGCCGTTATTGCATATTTGCCTTAAATATTTTTTGAAATGCTGCTCCGAAGTGTGAATGAAATTAATGCGTTGCCAGCGTTTGGGAAATGCAAAGAAAAAAGAAGAAAACGGGTAAAATTTCATATATATGCGTGTGTTTTCCCATATCATTTTGAATGCCCGAATGTTTTCATTTGTTGTTGTATTTTCCTTCCTTTTTTCCTCCACTTTTCACACAGATGCAGAGCCGCAAACTAAACGTTATTAAATGCAGGCAAATGTTTGTCCCATGCCAGTTGCTGTTGTTGTTGCTGGTGTGTGTGCAGCGGCATAAAAGAGCGCAAAGAGATGTTGGAATTTGGTTTTTTACTTTGAGTGCTTATAAATTTTTTTTTCGGTTTCGCTTACATTTAGGACAGGAGCCTTGTACCTTTTATCGCTAGCAAGCAAGGACACGGGCACAGTGGTGCAAGGTATTAAATTTTTATATTTAATAATAATTTTATTAAGCCAATCTCAATGCCATTTGTTATTAAATATAATATTAATATTAATAAATATATATATTATAGACGGTATTATAATTATATTCAAGAGAAGCAATCTAAAATAAATATGTAAAGCGTAATTGCAATCACCTTGGAGCTACGGGCAAACGATTATAATTTTACCTTCGGCGCAATATGGAATTAAAGACAATTGTGTCTCAGATTGACACATTGTAGACATAATTTGCTTAAAACACAAAGGCAGGGATATATATTAAGACAAATTATATTAAAAGATATATTTAATTAATTTTTGCAAGCTTAGATGATGCACTTTTTTTATAACATTATCAAGAAATAACTAAAATGAATGTATTTTAACTTCTCTAATATTTTATACAAATGTAACTTCAGATAATTAATATCAATTAAAACAAGCACTGAGTATGTATAGAAAATTTTTCAAAGGCTTGGCTCACTCTTAACTTATTGAAAATCTAATTCTAACATATGTGCGACATATATATTAACTTCTATATAAAATTATTCAGTTTTATATGTATTTCGTTTTCCCCAGGAGACTTACTTTTAATTTAGTTTCAATTCTATTATGAAAAGTTAAATTTTGTAATTTAATTTTTGGCTCTAGGCAAAAAAAATTTGCTTTTAATTTAAAATAAAAAACTTTTACTTTAAAATCAGTCTTCTAAATAATTTTAAATAGAACATTGTTACTATAACAACATCTGAAAATAGTTTCAGTTCAATAAACAAAATGGAACATTTTGTCCGTTGTCAGCTAATTTATATGTTTCCCTCCCTCAATAAAACTATAATCACTTCGATGTCCACTAATTGCCGCATTGCAAAGCCGGAACACCTGTTCGTTTCATGCATCACTTGGCCAGGCGCATTGAGCTAAAGCGACGGCCACTTATTGACTGATATAATGGGCACAGTTTTCAACACCTGTATGCAGCTGCTCGCACCACTGTGCAGGGGGGCTCGGCGCGCTAGCCTAACGCTAAGTAGCTTTAACGCTGCGGCGTTGGTTTTGTTTGGGGTTGTAATGGCTGGGGGCGCGGGGCGAGTAGTGGGGGCGTGTTGTATGCTTTTTTAGAGCAACACAAAATGCCGCCTTAAATGCTACTAATTAATGAGGATTTAGTGAAAACTAAACAGTTGTACGAGTAGAATGTGAAATGCACATTGCACAACCGTCGACGCCCCCGCGATATATTTCAGTGTTGTTTTCTTTTTGTCAGAGTTTTTTTATTTAGTACCCTGTGAGAAGTATTTGCATATAAATAGCATTTTAAATAGTTTTTGGGTGCACCCAGTGCAAGAGAGGGAGAGAGGCAGAGAGAGAGCGAGCTCACATAATTCTAGGTATTTGGGTATATGCATATGGAACCTAAATAACCCCAGATATTTCGAGCGTTTTCTCGTGTTTGTTGTGCGGCAATGAATTTCATTACATCGCGTGCGGCTTCAGGTTAAAGAGCCTTACATACACACACACACATGCACACAGGACGCGACGCCTGTGTAAACAGGAAACGAGCCTAGCCGCGGAGCTGGCACACAACCGAGGCCAGGACCTATGAGCCGGGCATTTAACGCACAAACAAATGTAATCAATGAAATTTTATGTGCAACAGCAACGCACTTCTGTGGTGCTCCAAGTGGCTCAGGCCTGGGGCAGTGATTCAGTTTTTCGGCTCTACTCATGTTTATACTTAGAAATGATTTTGGATTTTTGTTGCCTTGGCGTGCGGCTTTTATTTACACTCGCGTTTTATGCCTTTATAACTTTATTTAGCTGCCGCAAACAGCAGTCGCCCTCGCAGCTCTCAGATACAAATTACAATTGCGGCGCGCAAAGAAATTAAAAAGGATTTCTTCGTTTTGTTGTTTCTTCTCTCTTTGCCTTTCCGTATTTGAAATGCTTTCCGCGGGTATTTACGAATTGTTTAACGCTTTGAGGCATGACACGCAATGCCGCATATAGAGGAATCAGTAAATTGGTCAATTTGTATTAAGAAAGGCTTAGTTTAACATTTTAACTATTGATTAGGCAATGTGGCGTTGTAATTATTAGGCCAACTATATGTGAGACTGTTCAGCTGTATCAAAATGATTAAAATAGCGATTGAATTAAAGCTATCTTATTACTACTATTCACAACTCTTATGTTTAGGTCTGCTGAAGAATATGCTCTCTGAAACGCAGGTCTCACATTATGTATCCATTATCCTATAATTATAATTCAATATAATATTTTTGCTATACAAAAAATTCTGTGATTTTTCCCCAAGGTTGCCTTAGCCTTAGCCCCAATGATTTTCTTTTTTATTTGCCGAATGACATTTGTATTCTATTTTTATGTACATGCTTGCTACACCTTTTGCACCCAGGCCAACTAATGCAAATATTTTACCTTTTGCTCTCTTTTTTCTACCTTTTTCAGATATTTGTTCGTGCGTCCATTTCGGCTAATTGCTTTGTGTTGGTTTTTTGTTGTTGTCGTTGCTGCCGTCGTCGTGTTTTCTCTTTTTGCTTCTGCGGAATTGGAGTTAAGCACAGCTAAGGATCTGGACTGTTGAACAAGGTTGGTATTCATTATAATATGTATCCTACTTATTTGTGTTTGATATTAACAACAACAATAAGATTAGATTTTTTTGTCTTGCTGTTGTTTTTCTGCGTTTACTCTCATTTTTTTTTTTTTGCTTACGGGCTTAATTGCAATCTAAATGGGCTCTTTAATTATTTAGGATTTAGTTCGGGTAGCTGGGTAGCTCTCGGTCTTAGCTGGAAAATTGAGTAAACAAATCACTTATTGTTAATCAAAACGTTGCTTCAGTTTTCACTTGAAATGGTTACCGAAGAGCAACGCAATTTAACTGGCAAAAGTAATTGGATTCGGATTTGAAACTCAATTAATTTGTGTTCAAACTTCGCAGTTGATCTCTGGCAAAAGGAAGATGCAGTCCGGAGCAGCAAGCGGGGGCATACTATGAAATTAAAAGCCGAAAACTTGTACAAAATTAAAACAATGTGTACGTAGTAGTTCAGCAACAATATTAGACTGAGTAGGTTTAATGAAGCTGACGATAGCTTTGAAAATCGAGCTTCAATTTGTTCTTGATAAACTCAATGTTGCCGGACTAGGCAAAGGTTGGCTTAATTGCTGTTATTTGAACTCGCAGGGGGTAAGCTTGACTTCTAGGCATACTTTCGGATACCCCAAAGAGTTCTGATGCTACTTGTGACTGCTTTATATCACAAAGTTTCCAAACTCCATCATAGAGTCTGTATAGTCTTTCATCTCAAGTTGACTGATATTTTATACCAAGAAATTGTATTTAAGCCTGGTTTCCAGTTAGTAAAGAAAGTTTTCCTTCACATTTTCCATTTATATTTGCAAGCTAAATTGTTTTTACTGCAAATACATTTCCAATGAAAATCGCCCCATAGTTTTGGTACTCAACAACAATAGAATTGCCCACAATCGTTTTCTGTGCAAGCGGATTTTCGCAAAATGCCAAAATTTGAATGCCACAACCAAAAGATCAAAGCTAGCTTCTTACATGTGAGACTCTGCGTCAATCAGACAGGACTTGTATAGAAATACATATAAAATCGATATGACTTATGCATTTTTCTATTTCAAATTTTGTTTGCGTAATGCTTGAAGCAAACTTGCTTTAAAAACAGCAGCAAAGTTGATATTTCACTGCTACACTAGTGCAAAGTACATTTTCTGATATAATCTCTTAAGAAAAAAACAAGAAAGAATGAAAGGAATATAAAGCGAATCAACGTCGTGCATGCTCTAATACACTCAACACTTAAAGTTGATTCATTTCTCGAACTTATCGATTGAAAAGAGGACAAAAAGGAAAGAAAGAAAGCAGGAAAAGGCAAGTGATACGCAACAATCAGGACCGCAGCAGCACTCGCATTCCAATTGCAACAATACGCATCTTCCATCTGGAACTTTTACTGGCCTTATCTCGGGCGGAGCTAAACTGCCAACTAAACAACCATAAAAACCAGTGCCAAGTTACCCAAAAAGAAAACAACTTTCAAGCACTCGAAAGCATCACAAATCACTTTAAACAGCAAGGACAAACTTGAGACACTTACACACAGCGAAAGAAAGAGAGAGAGAGAGAGAGAAAGGAAACTTCTCTCGATTGTCTCTACTTCAGCTCACCTGGCACGCCCACTTAGTAGCTTAGCCATAGCTGTTAAATCTCGGCACTTGCCTTTTCTTTTTTTTTTTTTGTGGAGTAAAGCGCACTTCTAAATCGTATATCTGTAAGATATACAATCACTTAAATCGCTGAGCGGCTAATCCGCTGCCTGGTTTGCTTGCTCATACATCAAAGGCGAGACGAGGATTCCAGACGCTGGCTGAAAATTTGTGGGACAACCCCAAAGAATGTTGCTGTACAAATGCCAAATATCAGTTTTCAGGCAGCGCGACGGACGGCGGAAACAAATCAATAAACCTCAACTCTCAAAACAAAATAGGAAAGGCATACAACAGACCTAGAGGCATATCAAATTTTTGTCCAATTTTTTTTTTCTTCTACCGAATCTCCTTCTATTCGTGATTGTGATTGACGTATTTTTGCACCGCCTGCGGGGCGGAGTTCGACTTCGAATTGGAAGTTCTTTAGAGACATTCTTTCTGTTGCTCTGCTTTTTCTTTTTTTGCCTTTCGCTCTGATTTGCTTTTACTTTCGATTTGGCTTTTGTATTTTGGCATTTGTGCTGATTAGCTCGGTCGTCTGTCGCTGGGTGGTTCTGGCTTTTTGTTTGGACTGTGTGCGTGTGTGTGGGGTGTTTGGGTGGTGGCTTGTGTAAACGAAAAAGAAATCAAAATGTTGTCCTTGCCGGCAACGTCTAATCTCTGGAGCATGCTAATAAACCAAGGATCTGAACACCCGTACTCTCCCACACACTCTCTCTTTCTCTTGCTCTCCCTCCCCCGACCCGCTCTACCCACGCAAGTAATTTCATGCAAATAACGTATTATACGATGACGAAGACAACGTAGACTGTACGTGTTGTGGGTATAGAAAACGGCCTCTGACAATGCCTCAGACAATAATCATAACAACGCCACATTGCCGTTGCCCTGAAAGGGGGCTCACTTTGACGTAATATTTGTCAATAGCCCAGCAACAATTGACAACAAAAGGCACAAAAAGTACTAATCAGAAGAAGGAGAAACAGTTGGCGGCACATAAATAAATAAGCAAATAAATGTAATAACTAAGTGAAAAATGTTGAAATCACTCGGACGCTGTGTAATAGGCAGTTATACAAGGGGTTGATGGGTGAAACCAATTGAAAATGCAGCTGTGCGTTTGTCAGAGCTGCCGAGTCGGAAACTGAGATTTGGGTAATTAAGATCTGATTAAGATAGGCGGGCGTACTTAGGACAGCTAGGCATATTAAATCAGGGGATATTACTCTAAATGATTATTGCTGACAGTTGACAGCAGTTTTTTTATCTTTTATACGATGCCTACATCTAGTTATCTAGTTAAGATTGACATTGTGAGATTTTTGCTAATGATATAGTGAAAAGCCTCATTTGATATGGTTACAGATTAATAATGTAGATATTCAATAAATAATTTAGATTTCAGTTCAGCAATCCTTATAGCTAATCCTTTGCCTTTTCTGCCCCATCATTAGCGCAACTTCTTTAGCCCTTTAATGTCCGCATGTGCTTCATTCAATGCTCTGAATGCATTGCTGTTTTAGCATAATGTATGAGCTCAACTTAAAGTCAGCTAGTTAGTTGTGCTTTGCCATTCAGTGCTTACCACGCCCACTTGGGGCACAACACACTCCCACCACTTAGTGCGTGCAGCAGCTAAAGCTGCAGCTGCAGCTACAGCTACAGCTACAGCTACAGTGCCACCTATCATTCGCACTCGCACACATCAGAACGCCCCTTGCCCTGCGCCGCTGTCTCGCTGCATTTCTTAATCTGTGTGTGTAAGTGTGTGTGCGTGTGTGCGCGTGTGTGCGTGCTGTGTGTTATCTGCAGAGCGCCACGCTAGCAGCTAAACAATGAAGAACTAATCCACAGAGCATACAAAAGAATAGCTATAAAAGTTGTGGGCGGGCACGCGGGCAGGCGAGCGAGCATAAGGCCACTTTATGGCTGGCCTTTGCAACAATTGTGCAGCGTTGCATTCAATCAACAAACTTTTTAAAGCGCAGTTACAAAACTCGCAGCAATAGCAGCTGTGCACAACAACAACAAGAACCAACAAAGTACGTGCAACACGGAAAAAGACAGCAGTGGCAGCAGCAGCAGGAAGAACGGCAATAGCAGCGTTTAATTATGACAATCAATACTCAAATACACACTCACACACACGCACACACACCAATGAAACTTTATTGCGCTATATGGCACACACTTGGCCCTGCTCATTGCTCATCCTTTGCCAACTAGAGCAAATAAAACTTGATTAAATTCCATTGGCGAACGCCAATTTCGCCTGTGCTACGGCCATTGACCAGACACCAGCCGAGCGGACGACAAAGATCGAAAGAGACAGCGAGAGAGAGGAGAGAGCGAGAGATAGATATATACATATATAGCGTGGCGACACCAAACGCCTAGATTCCGGTTGCATATTACAACAATCAAACATAACCTAATTAGAAAATGCTCCAAGACTCATGCACTGTGAGAAATATGCAAATCATAAGAGCTCTAGCAAATTAGGTTTAAATTGAAAATCCAATTAACCATATTTAAATTCATTAAATTCTATTTGATGCTATTAAGAATTAAGATCTTATGTTTAAAGAGATCTTAGGTAAGCTATTTGTGGATATTACCAAACATTCTTCTATATAGAAAGAAATTCCTATTAATATTAAAAATATATAGTAACAAACAGGCTCAGTATTAACAACTTATTTTCATAAAAAACTAGTTTGTTTTCAAGCTATTTTTGAAGTTGATTTTCCTCCATATCAAAACTTACTAAACGAAATAACAATAAAAGAGAGCAAACTTTCTATTAATCTATTATTTCTAAAATAAAAAAAACATAAGCCTTAAGCATTTTCGAGTGCCTACTCTCAGGAGTTGTATCCTTATCATATAAACTATCGTTACAAGTATAATATAATACAATATACATATTTATAAACGTACGCAGAAACTTCGTTCTTCATTTGTTATGCTCAAGCAAACATCTTTCAGAATTACTATACTTTGTTGATTTGTTATTCCAAGAAGCATGAACCATTTATCATATACAGATATTTCTACAGAAAATCACTTTGTAAACTTGTGTTTACGACGCTCTGATTATTTCTCATATTCTAAGAATTAAACAAGTCGAAGTTCAAGAGGAAGCGTAAACCGGCTTGACTTAATATTTTGTTCAGTGTACTTTTTGTTGTTGCTGCCGTGCTGCATTGTTGGCTTGACTCGCTGGTGTATGTAATTGCAAGGATTGCCACTTCCATGGCCGGCTTCTCGTATTTGCCCAGGCTTTCAATTAACATGTGCGTCGCGCACTTTCTTTGACTAGGCGCCCCCCCAGACCCAAAGCAACC